CGCGCTTGTCAGTTTCTGTCGGGTCCCCGGGACGTCTCAGCAGGAGCTCCAGGTGCAAAACCGAGGCCAACTCTCGGGCTGCATCTCCTCAAATCTGCCAACCTCAAATCTGATGGGGGCGGGGGAAAGCATACTATTGATCCTCACAAACCCTAGATTAGTGCAGATGTTTCAGGGCGAGGGTACCGGACCCTAGTGGCGAGTGGGCACGGCGCAGCGGCTTTCCCAATGGTCGGTGCAGTCTTTCTCCCCTTTTCGGAAATGAGCCCCCGGACCCCTCCAAAGTTAAGAGCTGCCGAGCCGGGGCACCGAGATAAACTGGATTCCACCCCTCTTCCCAGTTCGTTTCCAAGCTCGGTGATCCCTCTTTGGTCCAACTTGCCAGCAGCGATCGTGTAGCTGTCAGTGCTCGAGGCTTGGGCAGGAGCGGCGCGGGTCAGGGACGGTGCAGCCAGCGGGCTCGCCTCTGCCGCCCCCGGCCGCTCCTCTCCGCCGCTGCCCCGGGTCTCCAGCTCGCCTCTGCACGCCTCACTTTCCAGTTAACAGACCCGGCAAGCCCGGCTGAAAGCCAGCTGTCTGAGGGGCGGCCTTCGCAGCCGCCTGCCCATTGTTCACGAAGGCCAGCCCCAAGTCCTCTCTGCGAGGCCGGGCTCCCTGCCAGGCCAGCGGTGCTCCAGAGGTGGCGAGCGCAGCCTCCTGGCGCTCCAGCTGTTCGCGCTAGAAGACAGAGCACAGCGTTCAGTCTGGACTCCTCTGTCACCCCCACTTCTTTATTTTCCTCAAACTTGTGCATTTTGTCTGGGCGAGGATTTTTGTCTTGTGTGCATTTCACGAGTTAAGCGATTAAAAAAACCCTTTTATATGTATAGTTTTGTTTCTATGACTTCCCCCCCCCAAAAAAAAAGCATAAGGCTTTTTTTTTGTGTGTGTGCGTTTCTTGGCGACCCCCCCTTCTGTACAGAATCCTCGATATTGTCAGGTGACTTGGTCATCTTTGGTTAAGTTTGTATTTGAAAGGCAAACTGGTTAAAAATGGTATGGGACTGATGCACTGCTACCGCGTTTTGGCGTCTTCTTCGTTATAGCAAGCGTATTTAGTGAAGGGTACTGTGATGAAGCCCATGCTTAGAAAGGGCAAACACAGCTTATGTGTTTGTATAAATAGGTGTATTTTTGTAGCTTAACCTCTCTCCCAGAAATCTCACCACTATACCACATTTTGGAAATAGGGCTTTTATTTCGGCGGGGTGAAGAATTTAGTGTCTGGAAGCAGGAGGTGTCTCTGTCTGGGAAAGTAAAGCTTTGCCTTGGAAATTAATACCATTCCCTGTTAACAGAAGCCACCATTGATTCCAATGATAGAGAAAGAAAGAAAGAGAGAAAGGAAGAAAGAAAGGAAGGAAGGAAGGAAGAAGTAAAAGTTGTTTTCTCTCCACGAGGCCCAATGTGCCCTGCAGGTCCGGCCCTTCCCTCTTGTCCTGTGTTTCTACTTATTTTTCCCTGTCGTTTTTACATGGACAGTGGGCGACGACAAGAGAAGGCCACTAGGAAATCACAGCTAGCTCTGGCCCTTTAAAATCCTGCCTAATGCCCTCTATATGGATGGCAGCTTTTAAGTTTCATAGGTTCTAGAATTACAAATTAGCTAATTTTAATCAAAACATGTGAAACATTATCCCGGCTGGATATAAAGGCTGACTGTGCTCAGTGCTCGGGGCTGGTGCTGTTGGCTTTGGCTACAGGCACACTCCGTGGTTTGGGAGATAGTTGTCCTTCTACAGTATAACAGATGTTTGTCTGAACTAGAGAGGAAGAAACAAAAACAACATTGTGTGAAGGGGAAAAATTACACAGTTTTCAGCCCATGCTGTGGGGCTGAGTGTGGGATTAACCTGGGTGCACAGAATTTCCTCTTTTTAAAATGTTATTTTTTCTCCAGATTGCCTTCTACTATTTGAAGTCTTAATCCTTGTGTCATTCTGGAACATTAAATGAGAAGCTTTCTTTTTTTTTTTCCCAGCACATAATTCAGTTGTGGCATTTTTCTCTCTAGTTTGGAACAATAAGAAAGACCCTGGCAACATTCAGTCATGTCCATGTATACCATTCCAGGGTGTCTAGTGGGTTTATAGGCATTCTTCTACTATAACATAACCCCCCAATCCTTACTTAAAAAGTAGGTTCTCAAAGTCATAGAGTTATTTTTAGCTCATTAATATATTTTTTCTTATTTTAATATTAATCACCATACCAACAAAACCCCTCCCTATCCTCCATGGTATTATTATCCATTCAGCTTCCTGAACTGAAGTATAGGGTAACATAACAAGTTGGTTGCTCTGTATAAAAATGTGTGCAACAAAATGTCACCGAGAACACAATGTAGCCTTGTACAGCTTCATATCAGTGCCGCTGGGGCAGCTTGGCTGTATTTGCCTTCATCTGAACAGCTTTCATCTGGACCAGTGTAAACTAAGCCCTGGTAAGTAATCACTGCCCAGCAGAGAGAAAGGAATGTATACAGCTAGCGGGGCCTAAGCTGTAAAAACGGAAACCTGAGCCCCCACTTCGGATCGCATATCAAGGCTTGAAGGTAGGGGAAATGAAAGGGGAAAGAGGAGAGAGGAATGGAAAAGTCAGCCTGGGAAGTGGAGGATCAGGAGGAGGCCCCCCTTGGGGAGATTTGGCCCAGGGATTAGGGAATTTTATCGTGGTGTACAGTGACCTACTCAGGTTTCAACACTGCTTGGATTGAGTTGCTTCTCTGTGAGCTGAAAGAAAAGGGACTGGTGTGTGTGTGTGTGTGTGTGTGTGTGTGTGTGTGTGTGTGTGGGTGTGTGATTTTTTTCCACTCCTCTGGGTAATAGAAAGGACACTGGTACAAGTGTCTATTTTAAGTGCAGCAAATGCAGAGTGATGAGAAAGACCAGCAAAACTGCCTCACCCAGAGACCTTCTTCAAGATTTTCTAAACACGACAATCACACAGTTAAAATTGGCTGGAGAAGACCAACTGGCTGAGTTTTAGCGGACAGCAGTAATGCTGTGGAGGGGGTCTTCATGTGGCTGGGAGCTAATGTCGGTCGCTGTTTCACTAGATCAGATATCGAGTTGCATTTTCGTTATCACTGGTTTAATGGATATGGCAGTTGTAACAAATTTAAATTTGATACAATATAATTTTGTGTGTGAAAAGTATACGACTTGGCATAGCTTGGCTATGATGTACTTCAGGGAAAGTGTCTTCCTAGCAGGAATGTGTATCTTATCGTGAGCTCTATGATATTTCTTTATCTTCTTTTCATTCTATTTTTTCCCAGCTAGAGAAAAATTGAATGCTGTACTTACAATTATGCCTTCTTTAATAGTGACTAGTAAAGAGGATGTTAGAGTCATAGCAATCAAAAAGTTTTTTTAAATTACTTTGGGCTTCTAAAATGACTATGGGAATTATATCTAAGTCAATGTCTCACAATACATGGAAGTCAGGTGGAGGAATTCCAATATAATGGAAGAGTTAATTAGCTTAGGAGTTCTTCCAGAGCACAATAGATATAATATAAAAACTGTGAATTAATGAATGTGCAAATATAAGTGTATGTATAAATTTTCTGATTGAGACATGTATCTGTGCACATAAATCTTAGTGAACTGTGATCAGTAGGTCCCAAACAACAGCACAATTCAAAAAATTCTAGACTATAAAAAGAGTCAAATTTTTTCATTTAAAACTCTTTGATAAAGCTAATGTGATCAGATTAGACACTCTGGCCTGGGAAACCCTTAAACAATCCATTATTAATTTACATACATTGTTTGGTTTCTTTATAAAGTACCCAACTACAGGGTCATTTGTATAAAATATCACAAAGTCTCCCCTTTGCTGAAAGTTTCTGTCCATAAATATCTCCAGTAGCTAATTTGTACCTAAAATTATTCCTTGGTCCTGCTTCCCACAGCTTGAAGTGTGCACATCTGTTAGTGTTAGCAGGAAAATTTCCATAGGATTTTCTAGTTTGTTCTCTGATGGTCTCTGTGGGGCTTTAGAAATGGCCTCTTGATCTCAAGGACAGTAAGGCAAGATGCAGAACTGATGAGTTTAATAACAGGATGTTGAAAAAGAAAATTAGAGAAATTATAGTATGGATTGGAAAAGCCTGGGTGTTTAAGACTGACATGAATGAACTTCTACCCAAAGCAGGCACATCTTAAGTGTTAGCTTGGAAAACAACATCCTGGTGACTGTTGTAGTATGTCCCAGGAACTTAATAAGTGGGCTTGGGACCAGATCCCACCCAGGGTCTAAAACATCCTATCAGGCTGAGCAGGAGTCTCAGGTATTCCCTGTGGCTGGGCTGAGTCCCTACTCAGGTAAGTCAGGTACAGCCCTAGCCTCTTGGGAGCAGAGCTGGGATGTTGATAAGCTTTGATAGTGCTCTCAGTTGCCCAAATCAGGAATCCAGGCTACAACCACAGGAGACAGTGCAACTAGGGCTCAAATAATTCAGTCCTCTCTCTGGTAAGATGGGGGTGTCACGAAGAGTCTCTTTTGGTGACTTCGACATGGTGAGCAGTAGAATGCCCTTCTCCAAGCCTTATACAGCTTGTAGGTTCCAAATACTAGGAAATGGAAAGGAACCACTCCACTTCCTCCCGAATCTGAAATAAACATTTGAAATAGAAGAAAATGAGTCTGACAGACTCGCTCCCTTCTGTGTTTCCTGCCTCTGCGCTTGCCAAGCCCTGCTCCACAGAGCCAAGCCCTGCTTTTCTTGTGTGAAAGACAGACTTATAGGAACCAAGAGGTAACAGAGTTTTAAGGAAAGTCAAAAACAGAGCTTCAGTGAAGAGTACATATTAGTGAGCACAAGTGTCTCACTAAATGGAGACTCCCAGAGAAAGGTGGTCTCCTTGATGTCTGAGGAAAAGCCCATTTGATTCGTTGAAGCTTCACACTTCTTTTTGAAAAATAAAATGTTAGAATAGAAAAATGAGAAGGTGAACATAAACAGTATTCCCGTTGGCTAAAACTTCCTCTCTGGGACGGAGTTGTCTGCCACACTGGCTCTCTCTAGTGAAATTATTGAATACTTTCCTGAAAGAGAAGGAGGGAAAAAATAGACCACTTTTTAAAAATAGTGCCGGTAGAAACACATAAGCAGACACGGAAGCTCACATGAGCGAGATCTGCTGAATGTATATTTTGGAGTCTGTAGACGGATGGATGGCCATTAGTATCTCTCTAGACAAAGGCCTAGGGAATGATGAACTGCACGAAAACCAGTGGCTCCGGCACAGGCAGGAAAATGATGCAACAAGTTTTGGTGATTTTTTAGGCTAGTTTTGCAGCTGTGATAAGACACAGATGCATGCAGCTGTGCACCTGCCATGACTGCCACTGTGCCAGTGAGGGCCGGTGTCCACAATTTCACAGCATTCCTTTGACCCTTTAAGGGTCGTTGATGTCTTGGCAGCAAGGCAAAATGGGGCACATGGTTGTTTGCTGTCCCTCTCATGGAAACAACACAGGTTTTGTATGTGGCGGCACATGATTTCAGTTTTCTATGGCAATTGTATAGCTATCGAGTTTGGAATATATCCATAGAAGAGTAAGACTGTCCTCTGCTGTTCTAGTTGGCTGTCAGTGCTATAATGTCTCGTTTGCATTAAGTACTGCATTAAGATCAGCACAGAGATGGCTGATGACAATGCTGCAAAGTGACCCAAAATAGAGCACAGTGATCATCTCTCAAGGACTTGACGTTAGGAAGCTGTAGCCAGACTCAAAAAGCAGAGCTCAGTGTATAAAGTCTATACCACGAGTGCCAATCAGGCCACTGTTATTAGTTCGTGCCTGGTGATGGCCACTTAATCAGTCATCAGTGGGAGTCTTTCTTATGCCATCTGACCCAATGGGCCTGTAAATATGGAATCATTCTGTAATCAGCCAGGGACTCTTCACACATCTCTTCTGCACTATCTAAATTCCACTTCCTGACCTTTTTCTTAGCACAGCCATAAAATAAAACTAGTCCACTGGGTCTGTGTTACCAGAGGCAACTTAGACGCAGCTCTGGGCCCATGCTGAAACTGATCTAAGCAATTTCCTTCTCACTTCCCTCTGGAATAGAGCAAGGCTCCACTGTCTTTCCTTATCTATCTCTCTTAGCAAGCCATGAGGATTTGAGGGTGGACCCTGCAAGTCAGGCAGAACATAGGGACATAGCAAGAGAGATAAAATATGTTCCAAACTAATTATCATTCTGTTATCCAAAACCATACCTGAAAGAAAGTACCAGCATCTCCCTCCCCAGGTCCCTCTTTCCCAGCTTGTGAATTGTTCAGGATTGGGAGTTTCCTTTTCCTTTGAAACTATTTCTTATGTGCTCTACTCTTTGATAATACATGTCAGAATGTTGTGAAGTTAAGTAATGTAACTGACAGATTCCTTTTATTATCATTTAAACCGTGGATATGACTTGATATATGAGTGAGACTATATGTTAATTAATTTTTAATTAAAGTTATCTTTTGATTTTTGTAAAAATAGCATACAACCATGACAGAAATAGTAGAATGAGTAATAGAAATGGGCAAAAAGTGGGGATGGAGAGATGGATTAACTGTTAGGAGCACACATTGTTCTTGCAGATGCCTGAGTGTGGTTCAATGCACTCATGCTGAGTGACTCACAACTGTCTGTAACTCCAGCTCCAGAAGATCTGATGCCCTCTGCTGGCCTCCACAGGCACCTGCGGACACAGTCCACATATACTCTCACACACAAAACACATGTACACACAAATAATAAAATACATATTAGACAAGAAATAGAAAGCACAACAAAGCTTAAATTTCCCACTAGATATAATTATTGTGAGCATCGTATATTTTATGCTCTTTTGTATGTGTGATATACAATTCTTTTAAAAAAATCAGTTTTCTTTTAAAACAATATGTTGTTAATAGCTTTTCAAGTCATTAAGATTTATTTACTGCATATATTTTAGTGGCAAAATAGTATTCTTTTTTGGCTTTATACACATCATATGATTAAACTGAAATGTATCTAACCAATTTCCAGTTATTTGGTATTTAGTTTTTTTTTTCTAAGAAAACAACATTGAGTTAAGTATTACTTAACATAAATATTTTTGTACCTATTTTCTTAGGCTAGTTGCTAAAATGGACATAAATAAAATTACCAAGTCAAATGGTTCTTAAATGTTTAAGGCTTTTAATTCATGGAGTCAAATAACCCTTTTTAAAAGTTGTAGGAAATAGAATTCTAGTCAGAAGTACAAGGATGCTCACTGGTATCATTCCTTTGAAGAAAATGGAGGCTGGGTCTCACACAGCCTAGGCTGACCTCAACCTCCTTATGCAGCAGAGGTTGATCTTGAGTTTATGATTCTCCTGCTTCTATGTCTACAGTGCTGGGGTTACAGGCATGTGCCACAATACCCAGCTTATGCAGTGCAGGGGACCCAGCTCAGGGTTACATGTATGGCTGGGGAGCATTCTACCAGCTGAGCTGCATTTCCAGCCCTGAACTTTGACATTTATATAAGACTTTTAGTTGAATGAGAGTGTCAAAGAAATGTTATAGGAATTAAGATTCAACAAGAAATACACACACACACACACACACACACACACACACACACACACACCACACACACACACACACACACACACACACACACACACAACACATACACTTTGCTGGTATCAAAAGAGCTTGAGAAGTGTGACGAGGGACTGGAGAAATGGCTTAGTGTGTAAAACTGCAAGCCTTAGAACCTGAATTCAGATACGCAGAACCCATATAAAAATGCAGGTGCAACAGCATGTGTGCCTGTAACCTCAGCTCTGGAGAGACTCAGGGACAGAAATAGGACTTTATAGCTGCCAAATCTAATTCAATTGGTGATCTGCAGCTTCAGTGAGAGAACCTGTTGCAAAAGAAATCATGTGGAGAAGAATTGAGAGCTCTCCAACTTCCTCCTCTTCTCCATACACACATGTACATTCACCCACATACACATATGCACACACACACACACACACACATACACACACACAAACACCAACATAAACACAGACGAGAAAGAGAGAAAGAGAGAGAGAGAGAGAGAGAGAGAACAAAGGAACAAGGAAGCAGTAAAATTTCTTCCTACATATCTGTGACTCAGACTAAGTGATAGGGCTGTGATCTTTCCTTCGGAGGCCCAGAGATAAAGGAAGTGAAATAAGAGACATGAGGAAGAGATGGGGTGGCTGTTGGAAAGACAAAGCACTCAGTCACACGTGATGTCAAAAAGTTTCAGAATGAGAATATTCAGTTTTAACTGTGAATTTTGAACATCCCATCTCTAACAATACAACTAATTAAGGAGAGTACAGGCCAATGATCCAATCCAAATGCAAGCAAAATTTCAACAAAGGCAGATGTGTTCTGGTTGGAAATCACTTGATGACATTGACATCCTGTGGTACAATTTCTTTATAAGTTCTTGATTGACCCAGGAGGTAAGTTATTTGGAATTGCTGGCCCCTTTGCCATTGAATCTATAGTAGAATTAATCCTGTCATAAGAATCAGAAGATTAATCTCAACAATATGAATGCCTAAAAAAACCTGCACAAAGACACCACCAGTTGACATACAAGCATGGATGGAGGAACTCTCACAAGGCCCCACCCCAAGTGGAGAGCTATGACAGTTAATGGCTGCTGGGGGGGGGGGGACGGCAATCTTCTCTAGGGATAAGCCCTCTGATATTATCCCAAGTGGTCAGCCTTAAGCACATGCAAATATGCACAATAGCAAAATGGACCCAGTAATGTGTGCATGTGTGTATATGTGTGTTTATATATGTTTATGTATGTAACAATAATAGAGAAGAGGTAATACATTTGAGAGGGAGTTTGGGGACCACTGGGAGAATTGGAAATGGTGTAAATATAGTACTCATATATGAAATTAAGAAAATTAAATTAGAGAAAAAAGAATTGGAAGACCTTTATTTGGGTTTGATGCTCCATGATCTGCCATGCTCCCATTTTCTTCTGCCAATGAGGATTTCATGTCAGTTCACCAGGAGTTTATTGTGAAAACTAAACACCCAACACACAGGACTATGGGATGGAACACAGATTTAAACGGTATGGAAATACAGCAAAGTGCTATAAGACTAAGAAATTATCATTATAATTTTAGTGACCTATTTTCCAAACCCAAATTGGACCACATAGTATGAGAGAGGATTTTTGTGTCACTTCCAAAGACAAGAAAACAGTCTGCAAAATGTAATTCAGATGCCAAAATACTGCATTTTTTGGCACATTTTGATGGTTCCTGAGAGCAATGATCAAGTAACTGCTCAGTAAAACTCATGCCATGTGATCGCCATTATTTTGAGATTTATTTGTAAAAGTTGCTTTGTTGTTCACATGAGTAGAAGTTCCTTGATTTCATGTAATTATAAAGCTAGGAGGAACTTTTAAAGAAAATTTATTTTATGTGTAAAGGTGTTTTGCATACAGGTGTCTGTTCACCACATGTATGACTGGTGCCTTTAGAGGCCAGAAGAGGGCATCTGAGTCCCAATAATTGGAGCTACAGATGGTTTCTGGTTGCTATGTAGATGCTGGCATTCAAAGTTGGGTCCTTTGGAGGAGCAGCGGGAACTCTTAGCTATGGAAACATTTCCTGCCTTAGGTCTTCAGGAGAAATGCTGCTTGAAGTTTTGAGGAAGCACATTACACACACACACACACACACACACACACACACACACACACCGAACAGCAACAACTATCTCTACTTAATAGAGTGCTGTTGCCTTTTTGGTCATTCAGAGTTTTCACTCCATTTATCTTTGTTCACCGCCCCACCTTTAAGCAAACAAACAAGAAACAGCATAAGAAAGGACTAACTTTTAAGTTGACAATTGCTTTTTAAAGGACAATAATATGAGAACATTGGAACATGAAGCAAGGTGTACCTTTAATCCCAGCACTTGGTGGCAGATACAGACGGACCTCTGATTTTGAGGTTAGCCTGGTCTATATAGTGCGGTCTAGGCCAGCCAGTGCTATGTAGCCAGACTCTGTTTGTTTGTTTAAGACTGAAACAATAATTATTGGAATTCTCTGCAAGAAAGGTTTGAAAACATGTCTAGGCCATAAACATTCCATAATTCACCTCACCTGGAATGTTAGATGACAATGGTAAAAAATCTTTCATTAACGTTGGTTTGCAACATAATGAGTTCCTGTGATATCTAGCATATTATTAAACCCTATCTAGAAACTTAGACTATTAAATGGTTTACTTCTTGAAGACATTTGGCTTCTTAACACAACAGAGGGGATAGGAGAGTTTATAGCATATCTCTTTTTGGTTTTAATTTTGTTTTTTATTTTTATGTGTATGGGTGTTTCCCCTGCATGCATGTCTGTGTCCCACATATGTGCAATACCCACAGGGATAGGAAGAGAACATCAGATACCCCTGGAACCTGAGTTATAGACAGTTGTGGGTGCTGGGAATTGAACCTGGGTCCTCTGGAAGAGCAGTTAGTGCTCTTACCTGCTGAACCATCTTTCTATCCCCTCTAGTCTATTTCTTATGACTATATATTCAATTTCTCTTTTTCATTGTATTCCTTCCTTCTCAAATGGTTTGAGATTTATCACTTGAGCTCTTGTACACCTGTTGTTTCCTGTCCCTGCACTCATATATCAGAACAATATGGAATTTATTGTCATTTTCAGTAACAAGAAAAGGAACATTTTATAGTTACTTCCATGACATTTATAGTAACTTGAAAATCATGGAGTAGATCAAATTAATATTGACTGTTTGGAGCGTCTGAGTTTCCAACAGAAAACATAAATAAAACTGAGTTTTTGTTGTTGTTAAAATGTCCAAATAATAAGACCTTGGTGTTAATAATACAGTTGAGGTTTCAGTTTTTTCTGATATCTGAAAATTGTGCACGTATCCCTCAGATTGGTTCTGAAAGGATGGATGAATGGATTTGCACCGGGACTAAGACAAACAAATCCATATCCTCAGCTGGGAAGTTGATGCATGAATTATGCATCTGTAGCCTTTTCGTGACTTCAGAGAACAGTGGAAAAAGAAGTGTCTATCAAGCAGAGTACCATGAGTCTTCAGACTGAGCTATGAAAGGGTTCACAAAACCAGATGTAGTAGCCAGGGGTCACTACGCAGGAGGACATCTGTTTTGTTGGCACAAATTCTCTTAGAGATTGGGGCAAGCAGCAAATAGCAAACAGGATGGCTCCAGCTGTTGGGAATAGATCTTGTACAAGGCAAGAATCATCTTTGGAGCTTTCTGCTGCCAGAAAGCATCTAGTGGAGGTCTTTAGTTTGTGTGCCGAGACTGTCATTCAGTTAGTGAAAGAACTGGGTCTTAGGGAAGAGTGGCATCTCATTAAAGGGACCTCCTTTGATTAAATGGAACAGCATTTAGCACAGTCTTCCTCAGTGGTATTCCTGAAGCTGCTACACTTATTATTTATAGTAAGCATGTCATCTTTGTGCGTTCATGGAAAGAATGTCTATTTAATGTTGTCACGGCCAGCCATCAGAGAGAATAAATGCTTCACTAAAGTTCCAGATAGCTGGCTGTTAGCCATGTGGATGGTGACAATCAATGTGGCTATTTTTTTTAATTGCTAATGTACTAAACCATCATATATTGACCCAGTTGGATTAGAACTTAAGTGGGTACTAAAGAAAAAAAAGCAGCATCCTATGGGTGGTTTGAAATGCCAGGCTTGTTTCTGAGGGATCAGCCCTGTAATCTTCTCTGGAACCCTTATGAGATCTGAAGTCAGAGAATTTAAGAAAACATGAAACCCTTGTTGAGGGTCTGTACACTCAGGCTCAGCCTCGGTGCTTCATTCAGGTATATAAATTATATATCCCAGTGGAATTAAAAATGACAGCATCTAAGAAGAAGAATATAAGATTCTCTGAACTACAAAGAAGTTAGGATATATAGCTTTTCTAGTTCAGTCTAGAAGGCTTATGGTTGCTTGATAGCTGTTTAAGCATAAAGATCAGTAGCACACATAGGCTCACGTTTTGTTTCTGGATCTAGCAATTGATACATTGATAGACATAATCACTTGGCATAAGTATTAAATCTGTCATCCAGACCTACTATTTACAAACTTTGATATCTCCAATAACAGCAATAACACCTTAAATTGACATATTAGCACATAGTTGATACAGGGGTTTTATACAAAATCTATCTGGAATCACCTTCTAGTTTGTTGGCACTTTTATGTCACTTGTCAGAAGACATAGTGACCTTTGATTTCACGGAGAATGAATCTGTCACTAACACAATTTATAAAACAAAGTATCCATCAAGTTAACAAATACCTTTGCAAAGGGAAAATTGTAAAGAGGGACCCTTGAAATCCACTCAGTTTTTTGTACAATACTAGTTGACAACTGAGAAATTATTTTTTTGGTTGAGACTTTGTTTTGTTTGCAGTAAGCGGCATATTAAGTAACAACACTGAGTCAGAAAGCAATTATAATTTAAATTAATTAGATCTACAAAAGCTCGTTTTTATTTTCAAAATATTTTCTTAGTTTTTGCATGTTTCCTTTCAATATTTTTGTATTACTGAAGAACTTAAACTTTGCAGAAGAATATGCTAACGTAAGACTTCCTATTCCTAGATGAAATTGACAAGTACCTTTTTATTGTCTTTAAATTGCTAGTGTCTGAAGGCCTGTCATAATTGGATGAGCCATTCTGCAATTTAAAAGCATTACAGCCTTGAACATGACTGCAAAGTGAACAGTCCTCTAGGGAAAGTGGGGCTGGCATGAAATGGATATGGCTAACAGAATTTAACTTGTACACTCTTTCCCAATAATTATTGATTACAGAATTAAGTATTAGCTTCTGCTTCTCTTTCAGAACTTTGCAGAGAACACCATGAATGAACTTCTTGGCTGGTATGGCTATGATAAAGTTGAATTAAAAGATGGTGAGGACATTGAGTTCAGGAGCTACCCTACTGATGGGGAGAGCCGGCAGCATATTTCTGTTCTCAAAGGTAACCGTGTTTAATGGCTCTTTGCTTGTGCAAATCGGAATGAATTGTCTCCACCTGCCAGAACTGAATTGCTGTGGGTCTCATTTGGTTGTTATTCACACAACTAGTTTAAACCTCAGCTAGGCTCTGGCCCTAAGGGATTGAGTAATAATTGTGGGACTTGTGCAAACTTTGGCAACAACAACAGGTTTTTGAAGATATAGTGGCTCCCTATTCATTGCAGATCAATGTGCAATTCATCTGAGGTGTTTCTGGAAGTGCATTATGTGATACATCATATAACTTCACACAGCATGAGCGCTTTGCCCCATGTAAGCTGTCATGCCATGTAGTGGTAACAAATGCCTCTTGAGACACAGCTCAGACTCAAGTATTGTACGTTATGGGTTTCAGCGTCCTCACTATGCACACAAAGTTCTCTGCTCTTATACAAGTGCAACCGCTTTATTATAGAAAGCAAAGACAATATTTTCTAATGTCACCCCTCAGCACTTAAGTACCAAAATTAGTGTATTTTTGGATTTATTTTCTTAGAATATTTGGCTTTTGTGAAAAATGTCATTTGAGTAGCTGACTTGAATTATATTTTTAAAAATTATTAAATGAATTTTGGATTGAGATTAGGACAGAATTTCCAGAATGGCTGTAAACATACTTCTGGTTTTTTGTACTACGTTTTCTGGGCAGCGGCATTCTCAGCATTGATTATAAGTCAACCCTGAGAAATGTTGATGTTTTATATCACACTATCAGATATTTAGCCAAGATTGGCTTCCCTATGTAAAATTACATAAGTACATCTCTCTCATTAATATACAAATTTGCTTTCATCTTTAATAAATGGCAAAATTGCATGTATAGTGATAAAAGCATTGTTTAAGATAATTTCTATATGATGTGTTATCAGCAATGTCTGATTTGTACACATATTTTGCATACCTATATCCCTAGTGTTGTGTAGAAATTCCTTGGGTGAAAGGGAGTTGGGAGTGGAAAAGTTCCAGAAGCTCAGCTTTAAATGTATTCCCAGTTGTACTTTTCTGTAAGCAGAGTTGCACCAAACATCAAGCTCAACAGAAAACAAAAATAGATGCAGCTCTGTGTCCTTCCAGCAATGGGAAAAACAGACCAGGACCGAGGACCTTAGCACTTCGGTCCGGCTGCAAGTTTAGAGAAACAGTGTTTGCTGACTTTGAGCTCCAGTATCCCTTTGATGCATCATCAGTGTAATGACTGGGCTTTCTGTGAAGTGCACTGTTGGGTGTATATGTTCAGAGAGCAGTAGGAATTTGCTGTTATCTCATAGATCCTCCTTCCTTATATTTGGATGGGAATTCTGAAAGGAAGCCTTATTTTCATTTTGTGTGTCATCTTCCCTCTTTCACTGCCCCAAGTTCTTGAAGAGGGTAAGAAGAGCACAACAAGTTGTAGATGGTTAGATCAAAGTCCAGCTGGAGCGTGGAGATTGCAGAGGAATGACAGAGTAGAATTTACACGGATTTGGAACGGATAGCAGTGCCGACTACCTAAGTGGGAAGCCTGTATGAATCCAGAATTAGTAAACCTAATTTTGGAAAGAGAGTCTGTGTACAAGATAAAAGAGGAGGAACATGTGAAGGAATTTTAGCAAAATGTGGGTACAACTAACTGTTCATTATCACTGACTGTTGGCTCAGTGTTTGTAGTGCAAAATCTATTGGCATGATACCTGTTCAAATATTTTATTCCCGGTCTTTAAGAAAGAGCCTTTTCTTCTTACATGCCAGGCAATGAAATGTAAATGAGCTGTCCTGCAGGCATGTGGAATTGAATGTTCATGACAAATTTTATGTTGAGCTTGCTAGGAAATTGTACACATCACACTATGAAGATAGTATCATCAATTTTACTGTAAATGAAAAAAATGCAAGTTCTGAGCTTATATTATGTGAACTAATAGCTTCAGTAGTACTTCCCCTAAGTAATCTTTGCCTCTGGGAAACATGGAAAGAGTCCCATGCTTCTCATGGTTGAAACTCTTTCCCCCCCACCCTTCCCCACCCTCTCTCCCTCTCTCTGTGATAAAAGGATATAAAATGCACCACACTGTAAATTTTATTTTCATTTTTGTTAGGTTTTAATGGGTATTACCAATACCCAGTGCAATAGTAGGTTTTTTTTTTTTTTTAAAAACCATTTGGTTCATTTGATTATACCACGGTTTAGATTTATAATGCAGTGGGACATAGTTACCATTCTGGGATACATTTTAGGCTTTCTACCATAGCCAGAGAGAGATGCTTGCTATATATCACTTTGTACATGGAAAAGGTTAATTGCCTCTCAATTTCCTATGGGATTTTACAGTGCTAAAATTCATCACCATGATTCAACTGGGATATTAGCTATCATAGTGGAGCAAATCATAAAGAAAAGTTCTTTGGAAATTGTTGGTAGCAAAACTATAAAGCTTCAGGCTTCAGGGTGGACTGTGGAGTTCTGGGAAATTGCTTAAAGGTTTGCAAGGAAATTTTTGTTCTGTTACATAACCAATGTACTTGAAGAAATAAATTAAAGTCTAATGAATAAGTTCTTGGCTATATTGAATGGTTTTTTTTTTCTCTTACAGAAAATTCTTTGCCAAAACCAAAATTACCGGAGGACAGTGTTATTTCATCATACAATATAAGTGCAGGCTATTCAGGCCTTGCCACTGGGAATGGACTCAGTGACTCACCTGCAGGGTCAAAGGACCATGGCAATGTGCCCATTATTGTACCTTTAATTCCACCCCCTTTCATAAAACCTCCAGCAGGTAAGCGCCACTGGGATTCCCAACCATAACGATCAGACACAGTTGTTTCTTCTGTCTTAAGACAAATGATTAAAAACTCAACTTATAAAGACGGTTTGATGAATGTTATAGATAAGTGTTAACTCATATATTGCTTAAAATATTACTTCTATTATCCAAAAAAATTCCTTATCTATTTCTGCTTGGGCTGTAGCATTCAACTGTCTCCAGACCTTTTCTACCACCAGACTCAGAAAAAAGATATCTTCCTTTTCTGAAGTTACCTAAGAATATATATATATATATATATATATATATATATATATATATATGCTTTATATATTTATATTATATATTATATCATATATAATTATATATATAATTATATATAAATATATATAATAATTATATATATATATATAATGCTTGGTTAACAAAATGTACACGATTGAACAGGGTGGTGCTTAAAGAGGGCCAGGACTTTTGGGGTTTTCAGAGGAAAAGGACAGTTTTGTAGGAAGACATGAGGCAGGCATGTTCCTGCACATGCCTTCCTCTAAATCCTTTCAAGAAACAAGTTGTAGTTTGCATCGTCTCCACAGAGTTCTAATTCCTGGAAAGCTGCCTCTGAGTTCCACTTGCACGAAAATGTAATCGATGTTTTGTATTTCCAGAAAATGAGATGACTGTGCATTAAGTCTTGGTGTGGAGGGCTGAATGTGACCATGTTCACTGCAGCTTCCAGATGTAGTGCATACAAATACCCAGTAACAGTCTGCTTGCTGTAAATGCTGGAAGCATGCTAGAATGGTTTATTTTTATTACTAGTTATTTGTGTGTGTGTCAAACTGAACATTGACAAATACTGAGTTATAATAGCAGTATTTATTGTAACATGCTAACACTAATGCGTGTGTTCATATTTGAGAGGATAGATGTTGGTTATACTTTCATAAACAGTGAGGACATTTTCAGGTATAGATTCCTCAGCTTGTGTTACAGATGTATTTATACATTGCCCTAGCATTCCTTCATGGTTTTGGCCATATTCTCTTGTTGGCCCACTATATTTTAACAAATAAAACTGACCTATCATACAGAGGTCATTAGATACATTATTAAATTAAAACTTATTTGACATTAAAATCATTGTTAGTACTAATCACTCACATAATTGGTATATCATATGATAGTCCTTATTGGTGTTTTTATTTTCCTTTGGTTGATTGTTTTAATGATTCGGAGGGACGGGAGTTTATCTCCCAAGGACCAAAGATATATTTTTGCATAGGGCAGTTGGTGAGAAAAGGGTAGGCAGTTTTGTAAATGTAGTGTTCCCAACTAAATGCATATTCTGTGTCCTAGGTGAGGGCTGCAAGGGTGTTCATTAGTGGGTATGACAAAGTAGCAGGAACACAGGCTTCAGACTGAGAAAACCTGGGTTTAAATCTAGGCTTTGTCACTCGCCAGCACTGTGAAACGGACAAGTTCTGCCAGCCCTGCTCCTTTCAGTTCCCTCATTTATAGCATGGGCTCAGGGCCCTGCCTCATGGGGTTGTGGAGATGAGGATGGATGCCAGGCACCTGGCATGATAGCTACCACATGAGCATTAGTAGCAAACATGGTGCCTCTTTTTCTTTTCCTTTTTGAACCCTAATCTTCACTAGAGTCCTCGTGCACATGATGTGTGCATGGGAAGGTGTGCACTCAGACACGAATTCATCTCTAAGATTCATCTGAGCAAAGAAAACAGCTTGAGAAATTAGCATAGCTGAGGCAAGCAGGAGTGAGGCCAGAGAACCTGCCCTGAAGTTTCCTGTGGTGCTAGCCACGTGGAATTCAAGCACACAGCTTCTATTTAACTCTAATTCCACACCAGATCAGGAAATAAATATGCAAAAGGATAGAGGCCAAAAACTGAGCCTTGGAAGTTGTAGCCGGAGGAACTCTGAGGAATTAAAAGTCAGGGTAACCAAACACCAGCGGTTTTCTGCTGTCTGCTGTGGCACTCCAAGGCACTCATCTGTGGCGAACCAATTGAAGGGAAGGACATCTTGACTTTTCCACATCTGCTCTAACCCTGCCCTGTCTGCCTCGAGGTTCTATACAAGATCCCAGATGTTCTCTTCTGTCTAGGTCTCACCAAACAGAAACTCACTGAAGAGATGACTTTTGATTTCATAAACTAGGGCCAGGGTAGTAAATCTTTCTTGTGAGTGGCCTGGTAGGATTGTAGACTTTGTGGGCCGCACTGTCTTTCATTGCTACCCAGAATGCTGCTGCTGTAGCAGGAACGCAACCTTAGATGACGCATGTGTCAAGGAGTGTGCCTGTGTTCCAACAAAACCCTATTTACCAAAAAATAAAACTTAAAATAGGTAGTGGGCAGGGCTTTGGCTTAATCTCCTTCGAGATGGGATAAGATTAGTCAGTTCTTATGGTAGCAGCTAGCTTAGCAGGGCTTCAGAGTCAGGCTGTGGGTGTGGCAGGAGTCCTGCATAATAGTGTAAGCAGCAACAAGGATGGGAAAGCAATGTTTTCCTTTGCTTACAAAGTGATCACCCTAGTGTTTGTTGAATGGATTTTTTTAAATTTAAATTTGTGTGTGTTCACATGGTGATATGTGTGGGAGCATGTGCAATGGTAATGGGTAAAAGGGCATCTTGGTGAAGCTGGTGCTCTTTCCTCCTGTGTGGATCCTGGGAATCGAACTCAGGTCACCATTGTTCTGTGGCAAACACTTTACTGCTGAGCCATCTCGTTGGTGCTCATTCATTCTTTTATTTCATTCAGTTTCTATAGTAATGCTGAGAAGTAACATGTTGGGTGTCATTAAAGACGAAGTTCAAGCAGGTTAAATAGCTTTCTTGGATCATGTGTCTCCTAAGTCCTTAGGGTCTCCGGATTCCTAATCCAGCATTCTTTTTCATATAAAGTAGCTGTTTCATTCCAAACTTTCAGAATAGTATCGTTCATTAACTGCCATTACTCCCTGATTCCCCAGAGTCAGGGAACTCTATTCTAAAAGTCCCTGTCTTCGGGAGAGAATCAACTCCTTCACTGTCCTTCACTCTGTGGGTCTATGAATCCCACGGTCATTTAGAAGAAAATCCTAGCTTTCAATGGCTGCCATTGGGAGCACTTGCGCCTCTTCCGGGTACGAGAGGCTCTGTCTGGGCAGGCACTGGTTCCTAGCAGTTTCATGAGCTAAGGCAGACTCACCCACCACTCTAGCCCATTCAAATCTTGGCAGCCAGTGAGCCCAGTGGAATGCTCGTGACTGGGAACACGGAGATACCACATTTGCTTGGATTTCCACTCCCTTTGCACAGCTGCATACAAGAAGTGTGGGTGGCTCACTTCTGGGCCTGCGGAACTGCTCTTCTGGTCCTGTGCCGCCTGCTCCTCTTTGGGGAAGGGAGCTTCTGTGTCTCCGTGACTACCTCTGCATTGACTCTGCTTTGGCCTCATATGCTTGTGTCCATTTTCCCAAGCTAAGCTACCCTTCCCCCTCGGAGACAGCTTCTGGCCCTGGGGTGTAGCATTTGTGACATCACAGGCGTTACTATGGCAATAGACTTGTTATAAACACAGGATAATAGCTTTGCTTTTGCTTTTCTTTATTCCCTCATGCAGTGAAGGGAATCACCATGATCCCTAAATAGTAATCACGGACTTTTGAGCAGACTGAGGCTGTGGTGCAGCTGCTTAGAAAGCTGTTAAACATTATCAAGAAATAATAAAAAGTACCGACCAATTCTTTCTATGCCAACACATCTTCATCCTTTTAATTTCAATAGATCCACAAACCTCCAAGGCTAATTTTTAAAACCACATCATGAACACCATTTGAACTGGCAAAAAAGGTATTAGGAAGATTTTGAAATATTGCTCAGGTTAATTGCATCATCACCTTGCTGTAGCTCTCATGCTAGAGACTTTGTCACAGGCTCAACCCTGCCGGCCTTCGTTCAGAGAGTTCAGAGCCCAGAAAAGGCTCTGGCAACGAAGCAGGAATGCTACTATAGCAACTCTCTATTATACCCCACCAAGTCTGAGAATGGAAGCAAGGCATTCAGGGTGGATTTTTTAAATACAAACTGTTGGCTAAGACCTTATGATCTTTATTGCTTGACCGGACATCAGTCTTTGTAGTAGTACTTTTGCAAAAGATTATCCCATAACAAATCCTCTGCAAACATTACGCAGGCTTAGGTCTGTCTGCCTTGCCAACCTCTGTTCAAAGGTATGTGGTATAGCTGGGACCATGTCTAGAGCCTTTTTGTCTGGGGCTTGTTTCATAATAATCTTTTACTCACAAGAATTAAAAATAATAAATCAAAACTCAGTGCAACTAGTGATGTAATTACTTTGTTCACAAGGACAGATGACATGAAGTGAGTCTGTATACTGAAAGCACCATTGCAACTCCACATGTGGGAAAGCGCAGTGTAGACAGGAGTCTCCCCAGAGGCTCACAACTTGTCTCTGCTGAATCTAGAATCCCTGTAAATCCCTGAATACTTTAAAATGAAATGAATTGTGAAAAAAGAAAGGGATATGCTCTTTTGATGCACTTATGTGGCCATTTTGAATAGAACGGACTTTTCCCTCAGATACTAAGTGCCTATATTTGTATTCCCCTCCACGCTCCCAAGGGGGAGGTAAATGTGGAGCCATCTACACAGCACACACGGGCTTGTGTGGAGAAAGTTGAGATCAATCTCCAAAAACCAACTTGATTTCCTGTCCACAGACACATCTTGCCTTTCTTTGAAAACAATGACTATTTCCTGTCCCCCAGGGTGGTTTGCATTCAGTGAGCTTTCCCAATTTGTGTTCAGGCAAAGTCATGGAAATATGATATATTTTTTTTCAAGGCAAATCTTGAAATTCCTAAGTGGTTTTAAGAACTGGGCTCCAAGGAACCGTTAGCTTAACTGAGAATATGGAAACCCCATGTGATCTCTAAGCTCTATGTATATAGCTGAGTAACCCACAGTTAATAAGCATGTTACTT